CCACAAATAAAATAAGGGAGACATTGGCATAAGCCTTATACCCTCCATCAACTCGGGTCATTTATCAATTCCTTACATGTATGGATTGAAATTGGTACGATGGTGTGGTAAGACCAGACTAACATAAATATGAAAGTATCAGGCCTCATCCAAAATGACACCTTTGATTTTGACACCAGGTGATTGTGATCTGGTGTGGTAGCAGAGATAAGTTGTATTCTCTGTACACAAATGTTTTCTATGGAAGATTAAAGGGAAGAGATTATTTCCTGCAATTGTAGAACAACCACATATTTACGGTCATCCACTTGTGCAACTGGTCTTTGAGTTGAAATGAACGCTTGCAGTCTTGCATCACCATGTGCTAAGGAAGCAGGTCCAACTCATTTTGGTCGGGGGCCAAATTTGATATCATAAGAGCTGGTTGGGTTGAATATATAAATGTATTCAACCACAGCTGGGCCAAATGTTATTAAGAAATGTACTGGGGAAAAAAGATTAATGAATAATTATAACTTCTAATTACATTTGGTTAACATTTGAGAACAGATACACTGTTTTCTTGAGACGATAGGTTTTAGTCTGAGTTTGACATGCCTCTGCAAAAGAATGTGACGGTAGAAATGATAAGGAATGGCAACAATAAACATCAAGCTTATTGATGTTCTATGGGGCTTGAAGAGAGTGCTTCTTTCTCTGTAATTCGCAGAAAGACAATATATGGACAAAAGGGAAAGTCTGTGTGAGGTGGCAGAGGTGCTTTTATTTTGAAATGTGTGTTCTTGACGTTAACTTACGCATCAGATAAGAATGCAGTTCTATGAGATCTATTAATGGCCAACTTGATGTGTAGCAAAAAATGTAACCATACTCCTCAGGACGTCGCTTTAGGGCTGTGAGACACTGGCCAAACCGCTTCAAGCTCTCCTTTGTTCCCCACACCATTGGCCCTTTTGAATAAAAATATAAAAAAAAAACTATCCATCCATCCATCCATCCATTTTCTTCCGCTTTATCCGTTGCCGGGTCGCGGGGGGAGCAGTCTAAGCAGAGACGCCCAGACTTCCCTATCCACACACACTTCCTCCAGCTCGTCCGGGGGGACCCCAAGGCGTTCCCAGGCCAGCTGAGAGACATAGTCCCTCCAGCGTGTCCTGGGTCTTCCGCGGGGCCTCCTCCCGGTGGGACGTGCCCGGAACACCTCCGAGCTCCTCCCGTGTGACTGAGCTCCTCACCCTATCTCTAAGGGAGCGCCCAGCCACTCTGCGGAGGAAGCTCATTTCGACCGCTTGTATCCGCGATCTCGTTCTTTCGGTCATTACCCAAAGCTCATGACCATAGGTGAGGGAGGGAACGAAGATTGACCGGTAAATCGAGAGCTTTGCCTTTCGGCTCAGCTCCCTCTTCACCACAACGGTCCGATACAGCGACCGCATAACTGCGCACGCTGCACCGATCCGCCTGTCAATCTCACGCTCCATTCTTCCCTCACTCGTGAACAAGACCCCGAGATACTTGAACTCCTCCACTTGAGGAAGGACCTCTCCACCCACCTGCAGAGGGCAAGGCACCTTTTTCCGGTCGAGCACCATGGCCTCGGATTTGGAGGTGCTGATTCTCATCCCAGCCGCTTCACACTCGGCTGCAAACCGTCCCAGTGCATGCTGCAGGTCCTGGTTCGTTGGAGCCAACAGGACAACATCGTCCGCAAACAGCAGAGATGAAATCCTGTGGTCTCCGAACCGGACCCCCTCCGACCCCTGGCTGCGCCTAGATATTCTGTCCATAAATACAGTGAACAGAACCGGTGACAAAGGGCAGCCCTGTCGGAGGCCAACATTCACCGGGAACAGGTCTGACTTACTGCCGGCAATGCGAACACAGCTCTGGCTCCGGTCATACAGGGATCGGATGGCCCTCAGCAGAGGACCCCCGACCCCGTACTCCCGGAGAACCCCCCAAAGGACACCCCGGGGAACACAGTCGAACGCCTTCTCCAAATCCACAAAGCACATGTGGATAGGTTGGGCGAACTCCCATGAACCCTCGAGTATCCGATGGAGAGTATAGAGCTGGTCCAGTGTTCCGCGACCGGGACGAAAACCACACTGCTCCTCCTGGATCCGAGATTCGACCATCGGCCGTAACCTCCTCTCCAGTACCTTGGAGTAGACCTTACCGGGGAGGCTGAGGAGTGTGATCCCACGATAATTGGAACACACCCTCCGGTCCCCCTTCTTGTAGAGAGGGACCACCACCCCGGTCTGCCACTCCATTGGCACTGCCCCCGATCGCCACGCGATGTTGCAGAGACGTGTCAGCCAAGACAGTCCTACAACATCCAGAGACTTTAGATAATCAGGGCGGATCTCATCCACACCCGGAGCCTTGCCACCATGGAGGCTACCAACCACCTTGGTGACCTCAGCCAGGGAGATGGATGTACCCGCCCCAACATCCTCAGCCTCTGCCTCTGTAACAGAGGACGTGACGGGGGGATTGAGGAGAACCTCAAAGTATTCCTTCCACCGCCCGACAATATCCCCAGTCGAGGTCAGCAGCTCTCCACCCGCACCGTACATGGTGTTGGCAAAGAACTGCTTCCCCCTCCTGAGGCGCCGGATGGTTTGCCAGAATCTCTTCGAGGCCGACCGATAGTCATGCTCCATGGACTCTCCGAACTCCTCCCAGTCCCGGGTTTTTGCCTCTGCAACAGCCCGGGCCGCGGCACGCTTGGCCTGCCGGTACTGGACAGCTGCCTCAGGAGTCCCCCGAACCATCATGGCTCGATAGGACTCCTTCTTCAGCCTGACAGCATCCCTTACTGCCGGTGTCCACCACCGGGTTCGGGGGTTGCCGCCGGGACCAGCACCAGAGACCTTGCGACCACAGCTACGAGCCGCCGCATCGGCGATTGAGGCAGAGAACATGGTCCACTCGGACTCCATGTCCCCCTCCTCCGCCGGGACCTGGGAGAAACTCTCCCGGAGGTGTGAGTTGAAAGTCCGTCTGACAGGGGGCTCAGCGAGACGTTCCCAGCAGACCCTCACTATACGCTTGGGTCTGCCAGGTCTGACCGGCTTCTTCCCCTGCCAGCGGATCCAACTCACGACCAGGTGATGATCGGTTGACAGCTCCGCCCCTCTCTTTACCCGAGTGTCCGAGACACGCGGTCGAAGGTCAGATGATACGACAACAAAGTCGATCATCGACCTCCGGCCTAGGGTGTCCTGGTGCCACGTGCACTGGTGGACACCCTTGTGCTCGAACATGGTGTTCGTGATGGACAAACCGTGACTGGCACAGAAGTCCAACAACTGAGCACCGCTCGGGTTCAGATCAGGGGGGCCGTTCTTCCCGATCACCCCTCTCCAAGTGTCACTGGCGTTTCCCACATGGGCGTTGAAGTCCCCCAGGAGAATAACGGAGTCCCCGGGCGGTGCACCGTCCAGTACCCCTCCCAAGGACTCCAAGAAGGCCGGGTACTCTGCACTGCTGTTAGGCCCGTAGGCCGTCACAACAATGAGAGACTTGTCCCCCACCCGGAGGCGGAGGGACGCGACCCTCTCATTCACCGGGGAGAACTCCAACACGTGGCGGCTGAGATGGGGGGCAATGAGAATGGCCACCCCAGCTCGCCGCCTCTCCCCGCGGGAAACTCCAGAAAAGTGGAGCGTCCAACCCCTCTCAAGGAGTTGGGTTCCAGAGCCCAAGCTGTGTGTGGAGGTGAGGCCGACTATCTCTAGTCGGTATCGCTCAACCTCCCCCACGAGCTCGGGCTCCTTCCCCCCCAGTGAGGTGACATTCCACGTCCCAAGAGCCAGATGTTGTGTGTGCGGACTGGGTCGCCGAGGTCTCCGCCTTCGACTGCCGCCCAGTCCTCTCTGCACCGCTTCACCACGGACCCCTCTGCAGGTGGTGGGCCCACAGGAGGGACTGCCCACGTCATCCCTTCGGGCTGAGCCCGGCCGGGCCCCGTGGGCTAAGGCCCGGCCACCAGGCGCTCGCATACGGGCCCCGACCCCAGGCCTGGCTCCAGGGTGGGGCCCCGGCTGCGCCATGCCAAAAAAAAAAACTATTAATGGTTAAATTCTAAAACTGTATAAACTAATTCTGTTTTTGTTTTTTTCCTGTAACATTCGTTTTTATTGTTATTTGTTCATACAGATCTGTGTAGTCTGTATCCCACAGCAAGCTACCCTTGGGACAATAAAGTACATCTTATTATTACAAAAGGCACCTTTGAACATTTATAGTGATACATTTGACCAAGAATAATGAGTGTTGGATAAAAACAGGCTTAATTGGATTTTAGATTGAATGGGGTGGGAGTTAGCCAGGCCTTAGCCATCCATAAACTGCTGTCAATTATCCTTTTCCTTCATGAATTTAGCACAATGGTGTGGTAAGACTAGGCTAGATGGGAGTATGTGTTTGGGGTCTATGTTGACTTGGATTTTGATCAGTCTACAGTAACAACCCTTCCTTACCTTTGGTCCACTTTTGATTGAATCCAAACACAACAGAACAAATTCTGTTCAGAATACCCAGTGTCAATAAAAGTAAGTAAGTATTTAGTCAAAATACTTCCATAATGTTTAAAAGTCTTTAATCAATCTTATTAGAAAGAAAACAAGGGAGACTTTGACATGAAAGACTCACGAAAATCTGTAGCGAGAGATGGAGGTCAGCTTGAACAGTTAAGACTCATCATACAAACAACACTGCCTGCAGGTGACAGTAAATCTGGTCAAACATTTCAGGTCAGAGACAGTCAGAGTCATATAAAAATGACAGCTGGTCTATCACAAACATGTTCAATCAAAGTGGTTTTACACGTTCAAATATACAAGCATAACCTTACATATGACGCATAAAAAAATACTTTTCCAAAAAAAAAATACAAAAAAACAATACAAACAGTTTATATATATACATATATAAAAAAACCTGTTACCCAAACCAAAAATAAATGATGTACGTTTATACAATATATTCCTTCATCTTGCATCGGACACATCTGCCATGACCCGAGGGCACCCTTCACACTGACAATTTGATGATTGAGTTGTAGTAAAGAGACTCTTCTGAAATGAGAAAATAGAGTAATGACTTTCACCTCACGTGCGTGTGTGGAGGACGTGTAAATTGAAGAAAAACATACAGCACTATCTGTGAGGGTAACAGATCTAGTTTTATCTATTGCCCAATATTTGTCACGTTCGGCCATCTTGATACAGTAGCCATGAGCTCCAGGATTGTTAATTTCAAACCAAATGGATTTTTGTTGATTTCCCTCAATGACTTGTTTTGCATCCTCTGTGTCCGTCTTGATCAGCTGTGAAGGTAAGTCACAAGTGCATGTTATACACTTTACAGCCCCTATACACTTGCAATTGCAATATACCTTGAAATTATCATTTTCATCCACTGAAACCACACAAGGTCTGCCCTGCCTATCCTTAAAACAAAATGCTACTTTTGTATCATATTTCCATATCTCCAAGTTCTCTGTAAACACAACAACATGCATATAAGTTGCAGAGAATATAGAATATATATATATATATATTAAAATTGGCACTGCACCTTTGTCTTCAGTGTCTGTGGCAACCAATTTGTGGGGGATACCCCCAAGTTTAACATATTTCCCAGATGTATTCTTCAGGGATGTCACTGCACATTTGTGTAGCTCATCCAATGCGTTTCCTGCTACACAAAACGTGATGCACAAGTTGTAGAGAAGTGATTGACCTCTAAACTTAATAAATATTTTAATATAATTGTCGTACTGAAGCTGTATGTTTTGTCGTCACCACACAGACAATCCACTGAAACGACTCCACAGAGATCTTTAGCATGACTTATTGGAATGAAATTTAACCAGATTAATCAGTGCATGGAGGAAATTACAAAAAACCCACATATACAAATTCAAAACTACCGGTGTATATTTGTGATCTGGGTCCAGTATATCCGCCGAATCAAGCGTGTCCTGAAGTGCGGGTTGAAATCGTAGACTTTAACTCTGCCACTTCGCAAAAACATGGTTAATGAGTTTGAGGTGAGATGCTGATGAGCTGTAGAAGAGCGGTGCAACAGGTTTTAAAGAGAAACGCGCCGTGACGCAATAACACGTCTTAAAGGTGTCACGTGATGAAGTGGATGAATATGGGGTGCCAATTGTAAAAATTCTGTTAAAATGTTTTAGCTGAACATTTTTCTACATTTAGCTCACTTTCCTCACATTTAGCACATTTTCCTCACATTTAAGACATATCTATATCTAAATATTATATCTATATCTAAATGTTAAATGTTATATCTAAATATTATATCTATATCTAAATGTTATATCTATATCTAAATGTTAAATCTAAATGTTAAATCTAAATGTTAAATCTAAATGTTATATCTATATCTAAATGTTATATCTATATCTAAATATTATATCTATATCTAAATGTTAAATGTTATATCTAAATATTATATCTATATCTAAATGTTATATCTATATCTAAATGTTAAATCTAAATGTTAAATCTAAATGTTAAATCTAAATGTTAAATCTAAATGTTAAATCTAAATGTGTCGCCAAGTGTAAAGCTAAATATATAGAAACCACGCCCACTGCAGTGGCTTCAAATCCAGTGGGCCCGCCTTCCGTGCCGTGTGGTGAGAACCCTACAGGATTACACAGGAATCTCACGGGACTCCACGTGGCTTAGTTTACAGTGAATACACTCTGGCTCCAGCAAATAAGCAAGAATCTTCACAAAAATGCTAATTTTGTGCCGTGGCCAAGGACGATGGCGCCGGAGACCCAACATGCCTTGAGCCGTGACGTCGGTCCACGTGTATTCCTATGTTCAAAACACGCGGTACCGCCCCCACTCACCACACGGCACGGAAGGCGGGCCCACTGGATTTGAAGCCACTGCAGTGGGCGTGGTTTCTATATATTTAGCTTTACACTTGGCGACACATTTAGATTTAACATTTAGATTTAACATTTAGATATAGATATAACATTTAGATATAGATATAATATTTAGATAGATATAACATTTAGATATAGATATAACATTTAGATATAGATATAACATTTAGATATAGATATAACATTTAGATTTAACATTTAGATTTAACATTTAGATATAGATATAACATTTTGATATAATATTTAGATATAACATTTAACATTTAGATATAGATATAATATTTAGATATAGATATGTCTTAAATGTGAGGAAAATGTGCTAAATGTGAGGAAAGTGAGCTAAATATAGAAAAATGTTCAGCTAAAAAAATTTAACAGAATTTTTACAATCGGCACCCCATAAATGAAGACCCAAAATTGCAGGAATGCCAAAAATAAGGGTTTAATGATAAAAAAGTCCAGATGAAACCAACTCAAAATCCAAAACCAAAACAGGACCAGGAACAGGACGGAAACAGACAGACATGAACAAGACAAGACAGGACGTTGACAAGACAATGGACTAGCAACAAGGGGAGAGAAGCACAGGGTACATATAGACACACAGAGACACAGGTGAAACACATCAGGGCGGGGCAGACAATCAAGACAGGGGCAAACAGGACAGGAAGTACAACTAAAACCAAACCACAGAGAACAATGTCAAAATAAAAAAAACATACAAAAATAAAACCCACACCATGACAAAAGGCTTCTCAAATATTCAAGCGGCCAGAAATAAAGTTAAAGTCATGAATGCAAACCAAAATAAACAGCACTAAATAATCAACAAAGAAATCTCTCATATCTCTGAATGCATTTGTTCAAATACTAGGCTCTCGCAGAACCAAGGTCATCCCATCTGAGGAGGCGACAACTGCAGCAAGTTTTCTAGAGATCTTAAAGGCTGTCGTAGTCTTCAATTAGAGGACTACGTTATTTGACGCTTTGGGATCCTCAACAGCTGATATAAAGATGTGACCGAGGCCAAAAACACACGCATGACACAGACTGTTTGGACAGTGAGGAACAAGTAAGATACATTTTATTACAAACTTACATTGTTTTTTTTTTTATTAGGTATCCAGGAGTAATTATGAGCAGTTAAATTCAGTAATCACAAAAGGAAAGTAGAAAGGGAAGTATAAGATCTAATCTCACCTCCAAAACAAGTCCATCTGCTTTCTCAAACATGGTTAGAATATTCAGATTTCCTTCCTTCTCCATCAGAAGAACCAGGCAAATCCAAAATTTGTAAATGTTGGAATAATTGTATAATCATTATGTTTTATCATTGCTTTGTTTTTAACCATAAACACAAGTATAACCTAAGGTACGAGTGTTTTATATAAACCATCTTTATATTCTTACAGTCCTTGCTACAGTAATATAGATGTGTAAGTAAGTAAGTAAGTAATCTTTATTTATATACCGCCTTTCACAGACCAGAGTCACAAAGCGGTTTACAATTGTTATTATTTTTGGGCATTGGTCCTCTCACTCCACACAGAGATGGGAGCAATGTGTATTGTTCTGGGAAGGTCACTCTTTTCAACTGTGCATCTCCATCTTGTTTGTAACAAATGTAACATTCAATGTTTTTCCACAAGTCAGCCGTTCCCCCCCCCCTCTCCCTCTCCTCTCCCTCTCCTCTCCCTCTCCTCTCCCTCTCCTCTCCCTCTCCTCTCCCTCTCCTCTCCCTTGGGGCTGACCTTGTGCCTGTAACTAGGGACATGAAAAGTTAATAAAAGCAGTGCAAGACGGCAGAGAACCCAGAAGTTGTAGGAATCACACTGATAAAGACTAGATTGTATACTGGGTCTTGATCTCTGTGAAGGCTTCTCACTTGCAAGTAAAAAAGATCACGCGCTTTTTCTCTTATTCCTTTATGCAGAATTGTTGGTGAAACCAGTCCCAACAGTAACATTTATGGAAAACCACGGGAAGTCGTGTGAGCACTTCTTTCACTTGATCAGCCGGGCAGCCCTGGGGTACAAAAAGATTTTGTATAACACAAATGATGCCACTGTAAATCAGAAATGTTAACAGTATACATTCGATTGTACAGGTAAATGAGGACTGTTTGGTCAGTCAACAAGAACAACTTAAAATGCTTTTCCTCACATCCAGGTGTTAACACAATTCAATTGCAGATATCAAATTTCCTCAGATAAGCAACATTTTTTATTGTTGATGAAGGACCAGTGTTGTATAGCCTGGAGCATAGTAGAGGATTGTTGAGTAACAATTTTTGAAAGTGATGATATATTCTAATAGCCTGAATCTTGCCAGACCCTTGTAGTTCCGCCATACTACACCAGAGGCGTTTCACTGAACACAAGGGTCTGGTGTCGACGCCAACGCAAACAGATGAGACAATAGATGAGACAAGATGACTTCCAAAAACACGACACAGGTGGGGATAAAAATTAAAAAAAAGATAGCTGAATTACAATAGTTGTAAACTGGGTGTCTGGGAAATTCATTAGTTATGTTTTTATAAAACGAGGTCACCTGTATAAACATTTCTTCAGAATATCAAAAGTCACACCTCCTTAAACACGCAGAGAAGCAACTTGTCATGCGATGCAGTCATAAAGTTCAAAGCCCGAAAGTCAATCTAGTTGAACTTGTTTATTCTATAGTCTAGTCTATTTAGTCTATTCTATTGCGACTCTGTGGTGGCATCAGCCATCTTGTATGGTGTGGTCTGCTGGAACAGCAGCATCACAGAGAGGGACAGGAAGAAGCTGGACAAGGTCATCAGGAAGTCCAGCTCAGTCCTGGGCTGTTCCCATGGATCTATTATATTAACTGGATAGGGTATTACAAGCTTGTAGCTGAATAACTCATGTGCTCGGGGGATTCTTGCGGTACTGCAGACTGAACCAGACTAAATTCACGTGGGCTACCCAGAAATTTTCCCCATAGGACTCAAGGCATATTAAAACAGCTCAACCTCAGCTGACAGAGAACCTACAGCTTTCATAAAGGTTGGATTTTGTGGGGATTTTAGTGTCCCTTCGGTTTTGTTTAAATCCACACTTTAGTGGCACAAACTCTGCTCGTCTGGCTCTCGCTCTAACTCCCACTCTGATGAACTGCTCTGATTGGTCAGAGCGCGGCCGAGCCCCTCTGTGCACGTGCGTGAGAGCCGGTGTGAGACCCACACACGCGTGTTTGGTGCAACTCATTATGGGAGATCATCCACTGCGCAGAACCGGGAGGACCAGACGATGCCCAAATACAGGCGAGTTTCCCAAAGATCTTTGCGAGTTCCAGGCGACTTCCGCTAATCTTTCAGCCCCCATGCTGTCACAAAGCGCCACTGAGCACAACCATTCATTTGAATAGGGCGCCATCTTGGATCGCCGGGGCTTGGCTGTTCCCTGGACACAGTGCAGCAGGTGGGGGACAGGAGGGTCCTGAGCAAACTAACATCTATGCTGGACTATGACTGTCACCCCCTGCAGGACACTCTCTCTGCTCTGGAGAGCAGTTTCAGTGACAGACTAATTCACCCTCGCTGTGTGAAGGAGAGGTTTCGCAGGTCTTTCCTTCCTGCTGCTGTCAGACTGTACAACGAGAATGTGTAACAGGAACTGCCGAGTCTGTACAAGTGTCACTGATAATTCACCAGTAACTTTGTCACTAGTCACCTTACCTGTTATCAGTACTACTGCATTATTACATATCTGATATTTCTGCCTTTCACCTGCCTCTCCTCCAGCACCTCCTCATCTCGCCACTGCCTGAGACATTCACTGAGTACGTCATCCGTTTTGGCCTTCTCCATGATGTAGTTATGGAGTTTGGATGTTTCGTCCTGGACAGTGGCTCTCACACTCACTAGTCCTCGGCCTCATTCTTTACGGCTTACGTACAGTCTCAGGGTGCTGGATTTGGGATGGAACCCGCCATGCATGGTAAGGAGCTTTCGAGTTTTAACATGGTCTGAATCTCTTCCTTTGGCCACCTGATTATTCCTGCAGGGTATCTGATCACTGGCAGGGCGTAGCTGTTAATTGCCCGGGCCTTGTTCTTGCCATTGAGCCGGCTTCTTAGGACC